CTGGGTCTCGCCTCGCACCGTGCTCGCACAGGAACCCAGGGAGCCCCCAAAGCTCCATGAGGCACCGCTTCCCGGGTTAGGAGATAGAACACCCCACAGTGTTCCACAGTCTGCGGGCTGGTTTATAACCTTTTATTTTATTTTATTTTTACACTGACCACCCATCATTTTATTAGTTAGCTTTATCTTTTGTTAAGGTTTTGCCACGTTTGCCAAACATGTAAATATTGAAAGCACATCGCAGACTGTTATGACGGATCTGCATTAAATCGTTTAGAAGAGACCTCCAAAGAGCACGCTCTTACGTAAACAGAACAGTTTTGTCACATCTTTAAAGAAACATTCACAATTCTTCATATCAGCAGTTATTTTTTAAACATTTTTTAAAAAAAGATCAGTCAGGATATCTCACATGTCTGTTTTTATCTAGAAAAATCCCTCATCATCATCATCTTCTTCTTCTTCTTTTTAATGGCATTGATGTTTCGAGGAGTGATTTTTCACTTGTAAGCGGCAGGCACAGAGCGGGGCCTGCTCTGCTCTTTTGTGCCCACATCCTCGGGTGGGCACGGCCCAGAGGGGAGACTGTTTGCCAGGGACTTTCCCAGTCTTAGCCCTGGCGGTCCCATGTCCTGGGAACCCTCAGTTCTAGGCCAGCCGGATGGTGGTCACCCGTGAGCCCTCCACCCACCGTGAGAGTACAAAGGGAGCGGGTGGAGTGAGAGAGAGAGGCCCTGAGGTGCGTCCCCTTCATCTCAAAACTGACAAGAGGGGCTTCAGGAAACCAGGGGAACATACATCCCCTGGAGCTGGGGTCTGGATGGAAGGGAGGGACAGCGCGTGTGTCTGGTGCTTGCTCCATGCCTCAGAAGTGAAAGGTCAAGGCTGTTGCTGTCGCTGCCTGGCCAGCCTTGGACCTGGGCAGGTGGTTGTGCTTCCTGGGCAACTGGTGTGTGTCCCGGGATCAGCGGCCATCTGAGAAAGGTGTCCACACAGAGGCCGTGGGAGAAAGAATCAACATTGGCAATCCCCCAAACTACAGGGCCGCAGGCTGGGCCCCAGGGGCTGCAGTCCCACCCCCAGACTTTCCTGTCCTTAGGTCTCCCACCCCCCTGCCCCAGCCATCAGGGGTAGAGCAGAGGCTGGCTGC